GGGTAAAATGTTTGGGAAGACATGATTCCCATCCCAATATCCATCCCTTCAGGGAAATTTGAGCAGATTTAAAGCKGCTAAATCCCAGAGGATTGGGAGATTCTGGGAACACGTTTACCTGAGCCATTACCAAATGTCAGCACCAGAATTCCGGAATTCTTCATGGGTGATCCAAATTTAACCGGATAAAAGAAAATTTGGATATTCCTCATGGTGCAACTGCTTCCCCAAAAATGGATTTCTTATTAATAAATTGTAGAAATTTATTCCCAAATTCTCCTTGTAGTAATTTCCCATGRAATGATTAAATCCACACCAATATCCCATATTTGGATTTGGAGTACACGGGTATCTGTGGGACGTAAAGGTTTTTTTTTCCCAGGAGATCCAGATTTATTCTGGGGTGAAACCAAATTCCCTTTCTGTCCTTTTGAGATATTCTCRTCCTTAATTTATTGCCTTTCCAGAAGGATGAGGATACAACAGCAAATGAATGGATTGGGAACTTTGTTCTCCACAGCCACAATCCTTCACATTCCCTGGGATCCACTGAATTTATGGAGTCRGAATTTGGGTTTTTGGGCAGTGAATCAAAGGATTCTTTGATTTCCTGCCAAAATGTGGGCATTTTTTCATGTGGGATTATCCAGACTTTTGGATGACCTTGGAGTTTCAAGTGGTTGGATTTTAAGGATATAAGGACAAGGATTAAGTGTAAGGACAAGGATTAAGTGTAAGGACAAGGATTTATTCATGGAAATTGGGCTCAGCTCCAGAAGGGGGTCTGGCCATTCTCACTTTAGATGTCAGGACACTCCTGGAATCCTGGGATTTGTGCTGTTCCTGTTGTTCAGATCTTAGTTCTGCATTTTGCTGGTGTAGCACTGAATTTCTCCAAGGAATTCCTAAATTCCTAAAATCCTGCAACAATGGGATCTGCCTCTTTCACCATGCAGTGGAGCAGCACATCCTGAATTAGGGAAGCACAGTTTTTATAGAATTACAGATCACAGGGATTGGAGAGACACAGGAAAGAGGAAAAAAAGCCATAAAAAGGTGTAGAGAAAACAGAAAAAGTCCAGGAATTGAGAAGCAGAAAGCCCAAGGGTTGACGATCCCCTTGGAAAAGAAGCCACAGGCAGCCAGGAAGCCAATCCCTAATTTCCTTGGAGAACCATTTCATCCTCTTCCTTCAGCACGGGCAGGGAGCTGAGAGCTCTGGGCTGGACATGGCCAGAGAGAGTGAGGAGAGGTTCAGGAGASCCTACGGAATCAGGAAAGGAGAGTGAGAGCAGCTGAGAGCCAGAGAGCAAACATTCCTGGAAAAATTGGAATGCGGAATTCCTGCCACTCCTTTTACCCCCCGACCCCAGGACTGGCCGTTAAATTTATCTGAATTCCCTCCGGAAATGTTCAGCGTGGAATTTCTCGTTCTCTCTACAGTTCCGTGACAGGAGGGKGAGGCTCAGATTTTGATAGGAAAATGGGATATGGCCTCAAGTCATCCCAGGAAAGGTTCAGACTGGGTATTAGGGGAAAAAAAAATCCTAATTGGAAGAGTGATTAAGGATTGGGACGGGAAGTGTGGGAATCACCATCCCTGGGAGGGTCCCAAAAAMCAGGAGATGGGGCACTTCACAACATTTTTTAGTGGGAATTGGTCAAAAATAGGACTTGATGAACTTGGAAATATTTTCCAACCTTAATCTGGGAATAAAGGAACAATTATGATTGAAGCCCATGGGAGAATTCCCTCTGATCCAAAGGATCTTATCTAAACACCCTTATCCACCCCGAGCACAACATCACCCCAAGGGCTGATCTTGGCAGAAGCAGCTCAGGATGAATTTTGCACTCCCACATTCCCTCCAAAAAAGTGGGAATTACCTCCAGGGATCTCAGTGAGCTCATTGAGYGGGGGCACCCCATCCAGTTTGTCCGCGTAGTTCTTGGCCGCCTTGCGCTGGGCGTAGCGCGCCTCGATCTCCTTCCGCGTCCGCGGAATCCGGCACTTGAAGATGCAGCACAGTGTGATAACTGGGAATGGGGAGGGAAATGGGGAATGTGGGTGAGTTACTGGGAATGGGGAGGGAAATGGGGAATGTGGGTGAGTTACTGGGAATGGGGAGGGAAATGGGGAATGTGGGTGAGTTACTGGGAATGGGAAAGGGAAATGCGGAATGGAGAATGAAATAGGGGAAACTCAGTGAGTTATCGGGAATGGGGAGGGAAATGGGGAATGCTGGGTGAATTAATGGGAATGGTATGGGAAATGGGGAATTCTGGGTGAGTTACTGGGAATGGAGAGGGGAACAAGGATCTGGGTCACTGGGAATGGGGAGGGAAATGGGGAGTGTGGGTGAGTTACTGGAAATGGGAATGGAAATGAGGATTTAGATTGGTAACTAGGAATAGAGAGAGGGAAATGAGGAATTCTGGGTGAGTTACTGGGAATGGGAAAGGGAAATGAGGAATGGACAGGGAAATGGGGGAATCTGGGTGAGTTACTGGGAATGGTAGTGGGAAATGGGGATTTAGATTGGTCTCTGAGGATGTGGGTCATTGGGAATAGGAAATGAGGGAATGTGGGTGAGTTACTGGGAGTGGGGAGAGAAACTAGGAATTCTGAGTCACTGGGAATGGGTAAGGGAAATGAAGGAATATGGGTGAGTTACTGGGAATGGAGAGAGAGAAACGAGGATCTGGGTCACTGGAAATGGGGAGGGAAATGGGGAATGCTGCGTGAGTTACTGGGAATGGAAAAGGGAAATGGGGAATTCTGGGTCATTGGGAATGGGAAATGAGGGAATTTTGGGTGAGTTACAGGGAATGGGGAGGGAAATGGGGAATCTCAGTGAGTTATTGGGAATGGGAAAGGGAAATGGGGAGTGTGGGTGAGTTACTGGGAATGGGGAGGGAAATGGGGAATGCTGGGTGAATTAATGGGAATGGGAATGGGGAATTCTGGGTGAGTTACTGGGAATGGAGAGGGGAACAAGGATCTGGTCACTGGGAATGGGGAGGGAAATGGGGAATGTGGGTGAGTTACTGGGAATAGGAAAGGGAAATGCGGAATGGAGAAGGAAATGGGGGGATCTCAGTGAGTTATTGGGAATGGGGAGGGAAATGGGGAATGCTGGGTGAATTAATGGGAATGGGAAAGGGAAATGGGGAATTCTGGGTGAGTTACTGGGAATGGAGAGGGGAACGAGGATCTGGGTCACTGGGAATGGGGAGGGAAATGGGGAGTGTGGGTGAGTTACTAGAAATGGGAATGGAAATGAGGATTTAGATTGGTAACTAGGAACAGAGAGAGGGAAATGAGGAATTCGGGGTGAGTTACTGGGAATGGGAAAGGGAAATGAGGAATGGACAGGGAAATGGGGGAATCTAGGTGAGTTACTGGGAATGGAGAGGGAAATGAGGATTTAGACTAGTCACTGGGAATGAAGAGAGGGAAACAAGGATCTGGGTCATTGGGAATGGCAAAGGGAAATGAAGGAATCTGGGTGAGTTACCGGGAATGGTAGTGGGAAATGGGGATTTAAATTGGCCTCTGGGAATGAAGAGAGGGAAACGAGGATCTGGGACACTGGGAATGGGGAGGGAAATGGGGAATGCTGGGTGAGTTACTGGGAATGGGAAAGGGAAATGGGGAATTCTGGGTCATTGGGAATGGGAAATGAGGGAATTTTGGGTGAGTTACAGGGAATGGGGAGGGAAATGGGGGATTTAACTGGGAATGAAGGGAGGGAAACAAGATGATGTGGGTCATTGGAAATGCGAAATGAGGAATTCTGGATGAGTTACTCGGAATGGAAAACAATGGAATCTGGGTGAATTACTGGGAATGGGAAAAGGAAATGAGGATTTAGGTTGGTCACTGTAATGGAGAGAGTGAANGGAAATGAGGATTTAGGTTGGTCACTGTAATGGAGAGAGTGAAATGAGGATTTGAATGGGAATGGGAAATGAGGGAATCTGGGTGAGTTACTGGGAATGGACAAGGAAATGAGGAATTCTGGGTGAGTTACTGGGAATGGGAAGGGAAATGCTCAGGGTGAAATCAGGGCTGGCTGTTTATTCCCAAGGGTCAAATCCAATTTATTTTGGTTCCTAATGAAAGCAAAATGAGAACATATGGAAAACCTCCAGAAAAACAGCTGGATTGACTTAATTCCAATATCCATGTGCTCCCATTGCCCTGTTCATGGGGTGTTTTTCCTTCTCTCTCCAGGGAATTTAATTCCTCAACAGCCGCCCGGTTCTGGTTGAGCTGAGGAATAAATTTAGGGAAAAATGGGAAAAATATCTTGTTTCTCCAAGGAACCAGGAAAGAAAGTGAAAGTGAAATCCCTTCTCCAGAGATTTCCTGGCTCAATATTCCAGGAAAACCAATGGAGAACTCAACATTCCCATAAATCCTCTGAAAATCGGCTGCAATTCCCTGGGGGGTTGTTCCCTTTGGAGCTGAAAGAATTCCTAATTAACATTTAGCAAAGTAGCTCAGAGTTAATTTATTAGGTGGTCATTGGAGTTAGTTAAATGGGTGGCCACTGGAGTTAATTAGGTGGCCATTGGTGTTAATTAGATTAATTAATTAGGAGCATGCTCAGGTATTCAGAATRATTCCAGCTCCACAAGGAATGTTTTCCACAGCTAATTATCCCTAATTACTATCTGGGAGCACTGGGATTGAATCCCAGCTTTTYCCAGGAGACTGTGAAGTCCTTGGAACAGACCTGGGTTTTATTCCCAGACTCTGCTCTTTCCTTTATCCCCAGGAATAAAAATAATCTATTTTTTCCTCTTTTTTTTTTTTTCCCCCAATGTTTGAGGTTGGGTTTCTCATCAGGACTATTTTTTCCTTACGAAATTTGACTGAATCCCAGTTTTTTTTCCAGGAGAGCTCTGAAGGGTGGAATGTAGCAACCTTCCATCCAAATTCTCCTTGGAACTGGTCTGGGTTTCGTTGCCAGGCTCTGCTCCATCCACATTCCTGCTCTTTGAGGAGATGGATTTATGGAATGACACAAAATCCGTGAGAATTCCACCTGGGGGACGCTGCAAGTGGAATTTTCTGCCACAGTTTGGATTATTCTCATAATTTTTGGGGATTTTGGGGGGACTATCCAAACCCAGAAAGGAAATTGAGGAAAGGAGATGGATGGAGCTGACAGGAATTGTTTCGGTAGGGATCCTGAGGAATTTTGCTCCAGGCGCTGCAGGAGAAATGAAAACTCCCCGGATTACGGGGATCCAAACAGATTTTTCCTGGTTTTCATCTTCCCAAAAAATCTCTTTATGTAGGGATTGAAAATGTTTTCCCATTAAATAAGAAGAGCGAAGAGAGTTAGGGGTTTGTGTGGATTTTCTGTTNTATTTAATCCTATTTTTTATTTATCTATTTTTTATTTCAGTCCAATATTTAATTTTCTATTTATATATTTAAGTCTATTTTTAAAATTTTCTATGCTTATATCTCATTCTATTTTTTATCTTTCTACTTTTATTTCTTGTTCTATTATAAAATTTTATTTTTTATATTTATATCTACCTTTTAATTTTCTCTTTTTATGTTTTGTTCTATTTTTATATTTTATTCTAATATTTAATTTCCTATTCTTATACTTAATTCTATTTTTAATTTTCTATTTTTATCTTTATTTCTTTTTAATTTTCTGGTTTTATATTTAGTTCTATTTTTAAATTTTATTTTTTATATTTATTTCTTTTTAATTTCCTATTTTTGTATTTAATTCTATTTTCATGTTTTCTATTTTTATATTTCAATCGAATATTTTATTTTCATATTTCTATTTTTTATATTTTCTATTTCTATATTTTGTTTTATTTTTAAATTTTATTTTTTATATTTAATTTCTTATTTTTAAGTTTCATGCTATTTTGATGTTTTGTTCTAGCTTTAAATTTCCTATTATTTCTGTTTGTTTCTATTTTTTAATTGCCTATTTTATATTTCATTCTTTTTTAAGATTCCTCTTTTTAGATTTATTTCTATTTTTTATTTTATATTTTTACACTTATTTATAACTCTATTTTATACTTATTATACTTAAAATAGGATTTTTTAAATTCATATTTTTATATTTCATTCTGTTTTTTAATCTCCTATTTTAATCTTTATTTATATTTTTTTAATTTGCTACTTTTACCTTTACATCTATTTTTAATTTTCTATTTTACATTTAATTCCTTTTTTAAAAATTTCCTATTATTGTATTTATTTCTCTATGGAATTCTCTATTTGTTACATTCCATTCCAGCTCTGAATTCCCTGTTTTTACCTGGATTTTATTCATCCCCAATCCCACCCCCCCCCCGGTAGGACCAGGGGTGGGGGTGGAGGTTGTGCCATTCCCACTTTGGATTCCAGATGGGAATCTCCAGTTTGGAACTGGGGCTTCCCTCAGGAATTATCACACACAGCTGGGAATTGCATCCCAGGAATTATCACACAGTTCGGGAATTCCAGCAGGAATTCTCTGCTAATTCATGGATACCTGAAGGGAATCCTTGTGCTTCGGGTTCATCCAGGTGGGAATCTCCAGTTTGGAGCAGAGACTTTTTTTAGGAATTATCCCACACAACTGGGATTTTCCCTCAGGAATTCTCCTCCAAATCCAAGACACCTGGAAGGGATCCAGGGTGCTCTGGGATCGCCCTCAAGGAAGGAATTATCTTAGAAAGGGATTCCAGGTGGAATCTCTCACTTTGGAGTGGGACTTCCCTTAGGAATTACCATACAGAGATGGGAATTCCATCCCACAGGAATTCTCTTCTAATTCCCAGACACCTGGAAGGAATCCAGGATGCTCTCGGACTGCCCCCAGGAAAGGATTTTCCTGGGAACGCTTCTCAGCTCCTCCTGGCCTGAATTCCCGGGATCAGGGGGACAAGCCCTGGATAACGAGGTGGGAAAAAGCCAATGGGATCARGAGCAGCCCCCGGGAACCTTGGGAACGTTCCCCAGTCTCCTCATCCAGGGATTGGTGCTGCTGGGAAGAGCAAGCAGCACTGAAGCTCCTCTCCGGCTGGAAAAGGGGGATATTCCCTGTTTTTCTGGGCTGATACCCCATTCCTGGATCCCAGGAAAATCCGCGGTTGCTCCTGGGTGTGAGGATTTTCGGGATACACTGGGGAACCAACAGAGCCTTGGGAATGGCAGAGCCAAGGAGGAGCAGGATGGAGCCAGAGGAAAATCCAAGGAATTGGTGAGAACTGGCTGCATGATCCTGGTTTGCCTAATTAATTTATTCAGTTTGGATTGGATTTTAGCGGATTAAGAGCTGCTGTATTCCCAAAAAAACTCCACTGGGTTGAAAACAGAGCTGAGACCTCTTGGGATGCTCTGAATTTATTTATCCCGGAGTTTCAAATCCCTGGGATCTTCTACAGATCCTTCCCTTCCCAAATAAATTTATCTGTAGGAATTTATCTGCTAATTTGGATTTTGGAATTTGGGGTCTGTCTGATTTTGGAATTCAGGAAGTTGTCTGGTTATGGATTTGGGTTATTTGCATGGTTTTGGAATTTAGAGATTTTGCCTGGTTTTGGAATTAGGATTTTGCCTGTTTTTCAGGGAATTTAGGATTTTTCCAGGTTTGGGAATTTAGGATTTTTCCAGGTTTGGGAATTTACGGTTTTGCCTGGTTTGGGAATTCATATTCCCTACTTCCAGTTGAAACAATCAGGCTGTAACTACCTTCATCTGTTGTTTTCTGGGATTTCTGGAATGCAGAGTTGAACTTGGATGATTTTTGTGGATCCCTTTCCCTCTGGGATAATCTGAGTGGATTTTCATGTATCTTTTCCTCTGGTTATTGCTCTTTTTTTAGGTTAAAAATCCTTTATTGCTCTTTTTAGGTTAAAAATCTTTAGGATTTTTCTGTGTGTGGGTTTTCCAGCAGGGAATCCTTTCCATGCTTCCAATCCTGTAAAACCTGGCAGCGCCAGAGCCAATTTTTAACAGACAACAATTGGATCCACGGGGATTAAAATTCCTTTAGGATTTGATGCCAACGGAAAAAAAAACCAAAAAAACCTCAATGGAATAAACCCTTCACTGATTATTTGCATTGTGAATTCCTGATGTTGCTCTTGTTGCCCATTCTCACCTGGAGTCACCTGGGGATAAACTGAGAGCCCTGGAATTGTTTGCCAAGGGAGTTGTGGAATGTGAGGAATCAGCTTTGATGGGAGCAGGGAAATTGTGGGATCTTTATCGCAGGGATTTTGGGCGTGGTGTTCACGGAACTGTCAGGACGGGGGGCGGGGGTTGGGGCGGGGAGGTGGAAAACGCTTGGGTTTGGTTTGGGAATGTGATGGAGGGTTAAATATGGGATTAGGGGTGGAATATGGGCACAGATTCCCACTGAAACTCTGGCTGTCCATGGATCCCTGGCAGTGTCCAAGGCCAGGTTGGACATTGGGGTTTGGAGCACCCTGGGACGGTGGAATTTCCCCCTGTCCATGGAATGTGATGATCCTTCAATTCCTTTCCAATCCATTAAATGGGAGGAATTTTGTAGCACGAAACTTTTCCTCATTTTCCTGATTTTCCTTCCACTGGARTTCTTGGAATTTTKAKGGGAWTATGTGGCTGTGCTGAGGGAAACTMGGGAATTTGCAAGGCACAATGAGMCTGGAGAACTTTCCAGACAGGRAATTACCAGGGATGATGYTGGATGAAATTCCAGGAGGGAACTGGCCGCAGCCAGAAGGATCCCGTTCCCATCCCAATGACTGGGGCCAAAAGAAGATGGATTTAAAATCCCTGCTAAAACCAAATGGAAAATCTTGGAATCCAAAACAATCCAGTGGTAGAACCCCACAATTCCTTCTTCTGTCCAGAGGGATGGAACAGAATGGTCTTGGAGGCCCATTCCAACCCAACCCATTCTACAATTCCATGCCACGGCAGAACCACGGCTCCAAAGGGATTTGTGTGGGAATTTGGCACTGGGACTGAACACTTATATTTAATTCTACTTTTTAATTTCCTATTTTTAGGAAACTAAAAATCTCCTAAATTTTAAATTAGGAATTAATTTGGTCTGGGATGCCGGGCAGRAGCTCAGGATGAATCCGTGGTTCTTCCCTCCAGGATACCACTGGAGAATGCACGGGAATCATCRCACATTCCCGGGATTCCCAAGGGGCTCTTCCTGTGCCTTGGGGAGRTTYCGKGGAGCRGATCCTSCTGGGAATGGGGYYGGGAATGGGGCAGAGGGAACAGTGGGACTCACTGATGGACAGGACGAAGAGGGCGAAGATCCCGACCACCTGCCAGAGCCGCAGCCCCCAGATCACCACGGTCTCCGATGTCACCGGATCCGGCTTCTTCTTCGGAGGCGCCGTGGTGGCCTGGGAAAATGGGAATATAAACCAGCAGGAAAACATGTTTTGGGATTGCAAAATTCTCCAAAATTCCTGAAAATACTCAGGGAGGTGCTGAGAGCACAGGAGATCAAATCTGAGTGAGCGGCTCACAACAGTTTGGGAATTTTGGAGGAATAGGGAGCTTCAGTTTATTTTTTAGGATGTGGTAATTAATCTGGGATTTTTGGRATTATGAAGCAAATTTTTTTGTTGTTCTTAAATTCCTGGCTGTTCCTAAAGAGCTCCTTTCTCGGGACTGAGAGGAAATGGCTTGGATTTTGTATTCCAGGCTGGAAAAAATTTGTGGAATTCAATTCCGAGGTAAKCAGGGATTTTTTCCTGCTTTGAAAAGATTCCTACAGGGATGAAAAGGGAAAGAGGGAAAGAACCCAGTGGGAAAAAGTCCTGGAATGTTTTGGGTGGGAAGGGACCTCAAGGATCATCCTGTTCCATGGCAGGGACACCTCCCATATCCCAGGGTGCTCCAAGCCCCATACAACATTTCCTTGGRCATTTCCAGGGATCCAGGGGCAGCCACAGCTTCTCTGGGAATTTGTGCTAATATTCCACCCCTAATCCCGATATTTAACCCCCCTGTTGCATTTCCAAACCAAATCTCTGATTCTCTTCCCAGATTTGTCTGGTGTCAGGATAACTTCCAGCCCAGGGAGCTGGAAATTTTTCCAAAGGCCTGGGAGAGAGCAAAGCTTTTCCTCAATTAAATCCAACATTTAGAGGGATTTTTTGTTCTTGTCTCTCTAATGTTCCTTAGCTTTCTTTCTTTATTTTTCCTTGTTTTGGGGTTTTTTTTTTAGGGATTCTTTTTTAGCTGTCAGAATTATTATTTTGCTCTCCAGCTTTGTTTTCCTTCTCTGTTTGCTCCAGCCTGGCTGAGCCTAAATCAAATTATTCAGGATAACTCCATTATCCAATTATTTCAAGGAACAAAACTCCTTGCAGAGCCTTTGCTTTTCCAGGAAAACSTGGGATAAACAAAGCAGATCCTAAAATTCTTCCTGATTTATCCCAGTTTTTGTGGGTTTGACGTTTTATTTTTGTTTGCTTTGGCACGGGGACAGTTCCTGGAAATTGCCTGGAATAGAATGAATGGAAAATTTTCCTGCTGGATGGATTGTGCCTGCACATCCCTCGGATTCAGGGCAAGATAATTTGGGAAATCTGTACTGTCAGGAAAAGTTCTGCCTCAGTTGTCCCCTTGAGAGAGGTTGAACAGCTGGGAAAACGTGGAATTATTCCTGGAGCAGCAACGTGGGGAGCTTGGAAGGGATTCCTGGATGCCATACTGGGGATTTATGGAATGCCCAGGTAGGATGGGATGGTGGAAAATCAGGGATTRAACTGGGAATGGGACGAGCAGAGCGCTGGGAAGGAGCTGGAAATGGGGGGTGGGCATGAGCTGGGAAATCCCTGGRTTTAGGGATGAGCTGCGAAATTCCACAGGCTCTGGAAATCAGGGGAAGGGCGGGCATGAGAGGCTTTAAATCCTGGGGAAAAATAGGGAAAGGGCAGGGAGGAGAGGCTTGAAAACCTGGAAAATTCCTGAGTTCATCCCTAACACTGCCACACGCTGGGATTTCCTGATCCCAGAAATCCCAGCAAAGTTCTGCTCCCGAAATTCCAACCTGGAGCAGCGACTCCWGCAGGGAAAGGGATCCAGGGGGGGAAAAGTGAAAGTTTTTGGGAGCTGGGATTGTGGATTTTCCGGGTGAGATTCTCCCCTCTGGAATTGCTGTCAAGGGGTCGGGAGCTGCTCCTGGGTCATTCCCAGATTTCCATAGGGAGCTGTGGGAATGCAGAGTCATCCTCAGGGAAAAGCTCTCAGGGAGGAACTCCCCTCCGAACTCCAGGTTTTTGCAGGATGAGAGGGAACGAGGGGAAGGCAGGAGAAGGGAAATGAGAAAAAGAAAGATGAAGAAAATGAAAATAAACAGAAAAGTAAAAGCAGCCCGAATGTTTCCCTCGGGAAGGCACATCCAGGGACAGGATTTCGGGATCATCSCAGGTCCTTTTCCCCTCGATCCTCGCTTGTTGGAGGTGCAGAACCGGGCTGAAAAACGCCGTGATTCCAGCCCTTTGCAAACTCCTGATTCCTAATTTAGGGCCTTCAGGGAGCACCAGGATCTCSCATAAAATTCCTTGGAGCCGCCTTAAATTCCCGGCCGTTCGCTTTTCCTGGAAAACCCCCATTCCCGGAGCCCCGGGTTCCCAGTTTTCCTGCGGGATTTTCCTTACCTCGATCAACTGCGCCAGGGAGCCTCTGGAGCGGGCCAGGATGAGGCAGGAAAACCCCAGGCAGGAGAGAGGAGGATTCCAGGGTGGATCCCACGCCATCTTCCCTTCCCKGGATTTTTCCAGCTCCTGTCGAGCCCGGGATTTTGTGGATAACGCAGCCCTGGGGAGCGGTCCCGGCCCTGCTTTTCCAGGCGCCTTTTCCGAGCGGGAGCCGGCGCTGGACGCCGTTAATTAATTAATTAATGAGGCCGGTGTCGCTTACAGAGCTGCGGGAAGGGGGAAGACAGGGAGCACCGCGAGCGCTTCCCTCTCCTCCAGAGGGAAGGAATTCACTTTT